ATCTCATCTGATTTGTATTTCTTTTATGACTAAGTATGCAGAACGTTTCTTCATGTATTTATTAGCCATTGTACTTCTTTTGAGAACTGTGTTCAGTTTGGTTTTTTTTTATTGTTTTTTGGTAGTACTGGGGTTTGAACTCAGAGCCTCATGCTTGCTAGGCAGACTCGCTACCACTTGAGCCACTCCCCTAGCTGTGTTCAGTTTGTTAGCCCATTAATTAACTGTATTATTTTTTCCTTTATTGTTTAATTTTTGGAGCTCTTTATATACTCTAGATATTAATACTTTATCTGATGAATAACTGGCAAAGATTTCTCCCCTTCTGTAGGTTTTCTTTTGATTCTGGTAATCATTTCTTTTTCCATGCAGAAACTTTTTAATTTAGTCCAATCCTATTTTTTAATTCTTGTTCATATTTACTGAGCAATTGGGTTTCTGTTCAGAAAAGCTTTATCTATGCCTATATCTTTAAGGGTTTTCTCTGTATTTTTCTCTAACAATTTCAAATCATCAAGTCATACATTAAGGTCTTTGATTCTTTTTGAATTAATTTTGTATACGGTGGGACATAGGGACCAGTTTTCAATCTTGTATATGTGAATATGCAGTTTTTCCAACACCATTTGTTGAAGAAATTGTCTTTTCTCCAACATAGGGTTTTGGCACCTTTGTTGAAAATCAGATGGCTGTAGCTGTGTGGGCTTCTTTCTGGATCTTCTATTCTATTCCACTGATCTGTTTTTGTGGCAGTACCATGCTGTTTGTTTGTTTGTTTGTTTTTAACTACAGCTTTGTAGTATAATTTAAAGTCAGGTATTGTCATTATCTCCAGCATTGCTCTTTTTGCTCAGGATTGCTTTGGCTATTTGGGGTCTTTTGTGATTTTTCTATTCCTGTGAAAAATGACGTTGGAGTTCTGATGGGAATTGCATTGAGTCTGCAACTTGCTTTTACTAGTGTGGCCATTTTCACAGTATTAATTCTGCAGACTGATGAACATGGAAGTTTTTTCCATCTTCTAGTGTCTTCTTCAATTTTTTTATAGTTTCTTTTTTCAGTATTTTATAGTTTTCATTGTAGAAGTCTTTCACCTTCTTAGTAACATTTATTCTTAGGTGTTAATTATTCTTAGGCTATTGTGAATGGCATTGTTTTTACTAATTTGATACATAGAAAAGTTATTGGTTTTTTATGTTGATTTTATAACTTGCTACTTTGACAAAAGGGTTTATCAGATCTAAGTAAGTTTTTTGGTGGAGCCTTCAGTGTCTTCTAAATATGGGATCATATCATCTACAAATAGGGATAATTTGACTTTTTCCTTTTTTGTTTGTATACTTGTTTTTTCTCTTGCTATATTTCTCTAGCTAAGAATTCTAGCACTGTACTGAGTAAGAATGGAGAGAGTGGGTGCTCTTCTCTCTTCCTAACTAGAGCAAATGGTTTCAGTTTCTCTCCATTTAGGACAATATTAGCCATAGGTTTATTGTATATAGTCTTTATTATGTTGAGGTTTGTTCTTTTTATTCTTACTTTCTTTAAGGCTTTTATTATGAAGAGATGTTGAATTTTGTCAAAGACATTTTCTATACCTGTTTAGATGAACATATGATTTTTGTTTTTTTTTTTCTGTTTATGTGTTGTATGTTTATTGATTTGTGTATGTTGAGCCATCCTTGCATCCCTGGAGTGAAACCAACTTGATCATGGTATATAATCTTTTTTTTTATTGTTGTATTTGGGGATACATTGTGGCATTTACAAAAGTTCTTACAATATATCAAATATATCATACTTGAATTCACGCCCTCCATCATTCTCCTTTATCTTCCCTTCCTCCCATTCCTGGGAGTTCTCATTTTTCCATTTACATATATGTGTACATATATGTGTACACATATTCACCATCCTACACCATTTCTGTATCATCTTTTTAATGTGTGTTGAATTCAGTTTGCAGGTATTTTATTGAGAATTTTTTACATTTATGTTCATCAGAGAAATTGGTCTATAATTTTCTGTGTTTTTTCATACTTTTATTCAGTTTTGGTATTGGGACAATAGTGGACTCATAAAAAGTGTCTGGAAGTGTTCCTGCTCTTTATGGAATAGTTTGGGGAGCACTGGTGTTAGTTTTTCTTTAAAAGTCTAGTAAAATCCATCAGGTCCTGGGCTTTTCTTTGTCAAAAACTTCTCAGGAATAATTGTACTTTTGTTAGTAAAATATTTGATAATAAGTTAAAGGATGAGTGGAGACTGAGTCTCTTAACTTATTATATATTTGTGGTTAGCATGTCCTTGGTAAATTTGAATTTTGATGTATGTGAGAGTCAAAATAATGGATGGAAAACCATTGTCAAAGTCTATTCAGTAAGTTTGTTTGAATGTAACATAAATTAAAAAGTAGTAGAGGGAGAAATAACTATTTTACACCTGTTTGTTTCTTTTTTGGTTCTCTTGAAATGGGCAAAAATAGTTGGAAATTTTTTAAAACAAAAATTTAATCACTGATGTTATAAAAATTTTGAAAGCACATTTTAAAGGTGCAAACACCAATGCTAAGTTTACTCTAACTTTATAATGAATTCCTGTTTATATTTTCTACTAGATCTTTGCCAAGAACAGTATACTAGTGGTTGAAAAATTTGGAACTACAAGAGTTTGTTTTGCTTCATACACTGTTGGTGGGATATAAATTAGTACTGTTGGTGGGATATAAATTAGTACAACTAAAAAAACTAAAAATAAAATTGCTATATGATCCAGCAATATCACTCTTAGGGATATACCTAAAGAAATGTAATTCAGGTTATAATAAAGGCAAGCATTATTCACAATAACTATGCTATGGAAACAGCCAAGATGCCACAGTACTGATGAATGGATTTAGAAAATGTTATTTTTGTATACAATGGAATTTTATTCAGCCTTAAAGAAGAATGAAATTTTGTCATTTGCAAGTAAATGGATGGAACTGGAGAACACCATCTTAAGTGAATGTAGCCTGGCTCAGAAAGCCAAAGGCTGCATGTTTTCTCTCATATGTGGAATATAGACCTAATACAAATATAAACAATATTATGAAAAACAGGCCATGCCTACAGGAGTTCACATACAAGATGTGTGGCGGAGGGGTAATAAAAAGGAAGTTAAGAAGGTAAATATGGTTGATGTACTTCCTATACAAGAATGAATATAGAATTTTAAACCTGTTGAAATCACCATACAAAGGGGAGTAGGGTAAAAAGAAGAAAAATAGAGGAGATGAACCAATTCAGGCTATAATAACTATGTACATGGAAATGTCACAAGAAAACTCCTTGTATAGCTATCTTAAACAAACAAAAATGTTACTTTTTTGCTTTTTACAAAATCAGAGAACAGGAGGACAGAACAGGTCCTGCCTCAGGGGTACATGTTTGCATTACATTAATATAATATAAAACAGAAGTTTATAAATTTTTTTTATTAGTACTTCTTATATGACTATTTCGCCACTTATTTTTCTCTTCCTCTACTCAGTTCCTTATATTCAATCTATAGATATGACTCAATTGAAGGGAAACAGTCCCGAATTAAGAATTAGGGTAATAGCAAAACCATATGGGAAGTTGGATATAGGAACAAGGTCAAAGAATGTCTTATTTTAACTTTAAAATTCTTTCAAGGTAATAAAATATGCAATCAGGCAGCTGTAAGTCTGAAAAGTACTTCATGCACCTTGACATTCAACAAATTATTTATTGCACTCCTCCTACCATCTGTGAAACACTGTGCTAGGGTAAGACAAATGAGTCACAATCCATGCCCTCAAAAGGCTTTGAAAAAACCATGCATGAGACAGGAAGGCAGAGGCTAATCAGAAATTTATAATGCAATCAGAGTGTTTCTACCTAGCCTGAGGGTGGCATAGAAAGCTTCTGGTAAAGGGGTGCCCATGTTGACCCAGAATGGATGAATAGATGTTACCAAGGGGTGAGAAGGGTTTGAGCACAAAGACTCTCACCATGGTGCCAATATAAACAAGGTGCAGGTGTTTCATTGACCATGTGCAATTTCAGAGCTTTAGTGCATTCTGGGCATAGGTGAAAAGGAAAGGGAAGAGGTAAACTGGGGCTAGCTCCTAGAGGGCAACTTGTACCATCCTATAGGTGATAGGAAGCCTGAGAAGGATTCATCATAGAATAACCATGAGCAGATTTACTAATTCCACATGACATTCATGTAAAGAATTGATTTGTAGGGAGTAAGCATGTGTACAAAAAGAGGGTGCTGTTGTTACAGTCCAGGAAGAGAGAAGGGCAGCCTGAACTAGGACAGTGGTAGTGTGGTGGAGGGAATTTTGTATAGACCATTATTGCTATGAGTGACTAATGTAAATACTGATGAGTCATAATCTTTCTTGCATCAGGTGGTAAACCCTGAGATATAGGACCCATCCCACAGTAATTGTATGCAAGTAGCTTATTTTCATTTTTAGGAGCAAGATGGTTAGATGCCTTCTACATGGTTTTCATTTAGGTTCTGGGAATATTGGTACAATATCTCAGGAAACTCATGAAAGGTGCAGAATATTCTCTAAGGTAACATTCTGGAAGTGTGATGTGTTTCTACAACCTCTCAAAGGTATAGTGTACCAAGTATTTCCTTGCAGTGTTCTTTCTGTGCACATATGCAGAAATATTTGCTGCAATAACCAGTTCTTTTTGTGGGATGATTTTCTTAACCTGCCATTTATCTGTACTGATGACAGTAGATTTTGTACCTGGATATCCTAAGTGATAACATTTGATGTTGGAAATGAAGCCCTTAAGAGTTTTAGTAGAAATTTTTTTCTTCAAATTAGAGGTTTTGCTGTTCCCAAGAAAGTCAGGCAAGATGGTGTTCACCAGTTTTAACTGAATTTCAAAAATATCCCAAATATCCTAAACTTTGGTTATTTAACTGGATATTTTCTGATTTTTCATAGTGTTCTCTTCTTTTTCTTTTTAATTTGCAGGGAAGTAAGTTTATCAGAGTTTCTTCCTAAACCTGCCTTAGAAACCACAGCATATTTTAACCAGAGATTTGTAAGTATCTTTTTTTTCTTTATTTAGGAAATTAGATATTCTTTTTGTGGAAGAAATGGCTCCTTCAGTTGACCAAATATAGCTAAATATAATTTGAATTGGTATGCAAAATTTGAAAAATGTACCACTCCTCAAAAAACTGAAGGAAACCAAAACTTCATCAAAAAACCCTTATTGCCATATCTATTTATAGATAGTGACTATTTGATTTATTCTTTGGAAATTTCTCTTTCTTGATGTCATTTTCATTATTTTTTTTTCTTATGTGAAAATACCACTGTCCACATATTTTAGAAAGTTTGCAACATCGGTGGGAAAGAAGATAAAAAGGATCAGTAGGGCCTGACCACAGTAGAGGTAGAGGGAAGCATTTGTGTTCTTTTAAAAGTTATGTGACTTTGAATAACTTTGTGTTTTCCATTAGTAACACTTTTAGTGAGGGTTTTTTTTTTAATTATAGCTAGGTCTCATATTCTTTCTTGTGTCATCTTTCTTGCTATAGTTCATCCCATTTCACCAGATTTATGAAATACCTATTGTTGGACCATAATAATACTGGTCAGCTCAGGAATAAGGAATCTGGAGACACTTCTTATTTCACCTAATCAGGAGTTTAAACCAAGTGTATATTTTCGCAAACAGATTCCTTATTAGGTGAATTTAGAGGAAACAGCATAAGAAAAACAAAGAAACAAAAACTTTGCCCTAAAATATATCTGTAGTATTAGGATTTTCATATTTTTATAGTTAATTCCCAGAAGAAAAACTTCACATGTAATGAAGACCTGTTATGGCACTAAAATGATCAGCAGACTAAGTTTTAGAGCTCAGGGTCAAAGGCCCGTGGCGTAAAGACAGATCAGAAAAACAAAGTCATGTAATAAAGTGGACCATTCTGGACTGTGCACTTCTGGGCTTTTCACCTATAAATATTTGTGCTTGAAGGTTGTTGACTTAAAATTATGACTACTTTGGATCATTTTATGATTCTAGGAAATCCCCGAAACATTGTTGATTAGTAGTTGATAGTCATTTTATCATGGTTAATCTGTGATTGCTATAGTGACATTAATATTTGTGTATTAGCTAATAAAACCAGCCAGCAATAACAAGGCTTGGCTTTATTTCTCCCCCTGCCCCACCCCCTCCCTTACACCCACATCCACCCCTCCCGCTCCCCCCTCAATACCCAGCAGAAACTATTTTGCCCTTATCTCTAATTTTGTTGTAGAGAGAGTATAAGCATAATAGGAAGGAACAGGGGTTTTGCTGGTTGAGATAAGGATACTATACAGGGCATTGACTCACATTGATTCCTGTTCATATGTGCATACAAGGCTTGGTTTATTTCTCCCCCCTGCCCCCCCCCCTCCCTTACCACCCACTCCACCCCCTCCCGCCCCCCTCAATACCCAGCAGAAACTATTTTGCCCTTATCTCTAATTTTGTTGTAGAGAGAGTATAAGCAATAATAGGAAGGAACAGGGGTTTTGCTGGTTGAGATAAGGATAGCTATACAGGGCATTGACTCACATTGATTCCCTGTGCATGGGTGTTACCTTCTAGGTTAATTCTTTTTAATCTAACCTTTTCTCTAGTTCCTGGTCCCCTTTTCCTATTCGTTTTCAACTCTAATACAACCATTTTAATCATAAGGTCTTGGGCAAATTATGTGAACTTTCTAATGCTTTAGTATGTCAGGAAAATGAGGGTAACAATGCTTATATCACAGGCTTGTTGTAAGGGATTGAGTAAAATGGTGAAACAATGAATATAATTAATAATGACAGCTATACTTTAATAATCATTTCTTATATTTTCTTTATTGTTTTATAGATCTTGAGATTTTATCCACATCATGATTTCATTAGTAATCACTTATAAGTTATTTTATGGAGAAGTTGGTATTTATAAAATCACTGATCTTGGCCACACTCCCTGCTGTTTTCAGCAAGTGTATGAGGTAATTCACATGAAAGTGATCTATAGGCTATCCTTTGAGAAACATGAGATTTCTTTTAAAGATGATTGCCCAACCTAGTTGACTACTAGAATCAAAAAACTTTGCAAAAAAAATACATATTCATAGGACTCCACCTTGGAGATTGTGATTCAGCATATTGGAGCAAGGCTTTGTAATTTATAGTTTCAAAATACTGCTTTGCTGATTCTGGCATTTGCAAACCACTCCTTTACAGTCTCTTTGTGTCTCTAATTTTTTAACAGTGAAGCTGGCTGTGTTTGCTATATGTGGATAAAAAGATATAGTCATGGCTGTGTGCTTTGGAGTTTTGATCAAGTTACAGTCGTGAAAAGAATGGGTTTGGAGGCCTGCATTGCACAATTAACTAGCTTGACAGTCTCCTTACTATACCATCACTGCTTAGCTGCTTTAAGTAAACCCAGGTGTCAGCCTATACGTGGCAGACTTTCTCAGTCAGAATGGACTGTTGATGATCATCTAGTTCAAGATTCCTATTTCACAGAGGAGGAAAGTAAATTTTGAGATTTCCACAAAGCCACGGGACAAGGCCAGGATTAACAACTGGATTTCTGCTACAAACTCAGCTCTACCTCCATCATAATTGGCTGACTCTGAGTCTGCTCATAACTGGGAAACCAGTTTCTCTAGTGCGATTTAGGCCAGTAGGTGAGCAGGTAGAAAGCTCTGAGTCAGCTTTCTTACTTAACTGTCCAGCTGCCTTTTTGAAAGTGAGAATGTCTTCCTTTCCAGCTCCAGTTTGGCACGAAGGTCACTGAGGGACGGCAGATGCTTACGAGGAGAGGCAGCATCTCCATCTTTCCCATTGCCTTCTTGCCTCTTTACCTTAGCCTGAGCAGTGCAGTGCCTTTTCTCAAACTCCATGTCTGTGCTATTCATGGAGAAAGAAAATCCAGAAGGATCAAGTTTCTAAAGGAAGAAGAGCACTAGAGAAGGAGCTCCTCGACATTAACTGATCATACACATGCTGGTAGCATCACATGCAGTGTCATACTTACTCTTCTCCACTGTGGAAGGTGCTATTATGTGAAATCCAAAGATGTGGAAGCCAAGGCTGAGAGAGCTTGCGTGCCTTGCATAAGGTCCCCTAGCTAATATGTAATGCAGTCTGAAGATCAGACCAGAGTTCTAAACCAGAAAGATTCTTTTACAAAGCCCAGGTAGTTCTTTTCTTTTTTTTGCTTTCTTTCTAGCTTGGCCACATACAATTCTGTGAAAATTGGCCATCACTTGGAAGACCGTAATTGCCTCTGAACTCATTTCTCAAGCCTACTTTTCCTCTTTCTCAGTGTGTTCCATTTGCTGTAGCCAGAGTGACCTGTCTAAAATTCAATTTCAACTGTCATAGAAATCAATGACTGTTGCATAGAATCAATGACTTCTGTTGTTATTAGAATAAACCAAATCCTTAACAATTGAGTGATGTGGTCCCTACTAACCTAAGCTCTTCATTGAGTGCCATTGTTGCCTTCTTCCTTGTGCACTGGCCACACCAGCCTGCCTTCAGTCCCTGATATGTGTTGTGCACTTCTGCATGAAAACACTCATTTTCTACCTGTATGCCAGCTGTAACTTACTTGTTTTTTTTTAAAGGATGACACTCTTTATTGTCAGACACGATTTATATCTCACTTCTCCAGATGTTGCTTTTCTGTCATTTGTTCATTAGCTAAAGATAAGGCACGTGTTTAAACTTAATGAGTTTTAAAATACTTATTCTAGGAGGGGATGGAGATGTAACTCAGTAGTAAAGCACTTGCTTAGCACGTCCAAGGCCCTAGATTTCATCCCCAACACACACACACACACATACACATACCACACACCACATACACATATACCACACACACACCACACACACACACATACCACACACACACATATACCAAACACATACACACACACATATACCAAATACATACATATACACACCACATACACACACACCACACACACACGCATACCACACACACACACATACCACACACACACACACCACACACACACCCCTCCCCACATATACACACTACACACACACACACACACACAGACAACAAAGGAGTGGACATAAGTATTTTTTAGATGTTTTTTAAACAACCAGAGAAATGTTTTCTCTTCTGCAGTTTTGTCCTTAGCTGATCTGAGGTCAGGGATTGCAGGGTGAGAATATGAAGGCAATAAGCTGAGTTCCAAGGAGGAAGATGAAAAGAGAACTTATGGTTTTAACTACGTATCACATTCTTACTTCCCCCTTTTAAAGAAGCACATAGTCTCCCTCTATTTTCTTCCTGGAACATATTTAAAAGGTCAAGCTTACTTTTATTCCTTTATATCTCAGCTCATACTATCAATGAGTGAGATCTTGATGTATACGTAGCAGCTTGTAATTTTTTACCTAAGGCTTACCACAGTTTGTAATCATATATGGATTTGCGTTGATTATTTTTTGTTATTTGCCTATTAGATTACATAAAAACTATTATAAAACTGTCTTGCCAGGCATAAACTTGACACTCAACAGATATCTTGCAAGTGATTAATAAATTCATAAGTGAATGAAAGTAGATTAGCTAACTAATATTTGATAATTTGTTTGATAAATTACTGTTTAGAATTGAAAAGAAGCTTTTATTCCTGTAAAAAACTGAGTTTCAGTCATCTATAATATTGTTTTTTAATGCCCAAATGATGTAATATTTTCCTTAATGTTACATTGTAATTTCTTTTTCCTTTCTGAAGTAAGTTTTGTTGAATAAATGAAGCTGATTCAAATAGCATAGAGGTCATTACCAAATTGACTTTTTCTTTTCATTAAACCAATTAAACCAAAGCAATTAAAACTTGGAAATGGCAGCAATAAAAGAACAATATATCACCATTTAGTGCACCAGTGAAGGAAGGGAATGCGTCATAATTTGTTTTTAAATGTCACATCTTTATTGCACTTACTAATTAAAATGAGGCTTTTCTATCCCAGCCCCACTGAAAAAAATTTAGA